GGAAGGGAGAGGACCAAGCCCTATCTTGTTACCAGTGCATTTTCATCTCTTTGGGGCCTCACTTAACAGATAGCACTATCAACCCTGCTTTTTTGCAGGTGAGGATACTGAGGTTATGAGAGGTGAAGGGGGGTCTAGTACGGGCAAGCTGCACTGAAGCCTAAGTCAAGAAGGAAGAAAGGGAGTGTAGAGGACTCTGGGCTAGGGATGAATTGAGAGAAGGCATCAGTACATGCTTAGTACCGTGGCCATTGCTTTAGTTTCCTGATGGTTGCTTTATTTGGCTTTGATTTAGATGCCGGAGGATGAAGGGACAAGTTTGCCAGAGAGCAGATCAGATGCTTCTCAGAGGATCAGAAAGATGTGGGTGGTGTGGAAGAAGAGCCATTCACACAGTAACCCAACCTTGAGCTAGGTCTCTTTCCTAAACCCTGGGAGGGGCCTGGTAATGAATCAAGGAGCTATTCCTGGAGCTGACGTGGAGGAAAGGGGACGTTCTTCTGCCCTGGGGCAGGCAAGCCATTCCTCAGGAAGGGACAGAGAAGGAAGAGTTGGTTCACAGAGTGCAGACAGATCCTGGAGGTGGGCCGTTGTCTGCATTCACAGATGGCACTGTCTGTACAGCCTGAGGCCAGGAGGTGCCTGTGAAACCCATAGTCAGGTTTCCTGATGGAATGGGTGTCCACAGAGCCCAGCGTGCCCGGGACTCCTGTCGGTGGGATGGGTTGTCACTAGGCACAGGCCTGACAGTCAGGGTTATAGGTGTCTCTGGCCCTTGGATTACAGCACCTGTGCTGCTGTCCTGTTTGTTCCCATGATGGCCAGGTCCTTCTTCTGTCTCAGGACTGGGATCTCCGGTCCCTGTCCCCTGCCCCTGGAAGCTGCTCTGTCCCGGACCCTGCCTGAATTTCCCAGAGTCAAACTTCCCAAAGATGTGACCATGTCCACCTCACCCTGAACCTGATGCCATTTGTTTGTTTGAGGCAAAAGGAAAAGTGACGGGGACTGTGTATGTTGTATGTATATGCATGACTTGGGGTCAGGCAGGGTCCTGTGCTCCTGGCATTTCCTCCTCCATCATTTTATGTTCTTCCACCAGCGGTCTGCTAGAAATGGGGCCTGGCTCTGTTCATTTGCCCCCTTCCCTCAGAGTGGCTTTGCACAAACCTCTCCCTTGGGCTGGACCTGTCATGTCTTCCAGTGAAGAGCCAGCTGACCTGAGGGTCCTTTGCTTCCAGAACAGCCTGTGACTCGGCTTCCTGACCTCTGGTTTCTTTCTGAGGCTTCTCCCCATAGTCTGGACGAGAGCCCACTTCTCTCTGCCTCAGTGGACCTGTCTGCAAGAAGCCCACTAAGGGACTGCCTGCAGGGTCACGGTCATTTGAATAATAGTGATGACATCAGGGAACACTGATCAAAAGCTTTACAATGTGCTAGGCACTGTGCTAAGCATTTTGTGTGTCTGGTCTCCTAATTTCCCCAACAATCTGTGGGGTGTAGATTATTAGGGTTACTCTTATTTTATAGGAGAGGAAACTAAGGCTAAAAGAAATGGTCACCTGCCCAAGCTTATGTGGCCAATGGGCAGATGAGCCTATATTTAAATCCAATTGGATAATGTCTTATTAAAATCTTTGTTCTGAAATCCTAATTGTGGTACCTCCTACTAAACTGGAACAGGGTGTCTTTGGGAATTGTGACCTGGATTGGAGAGGCAGTGTCAGGAAGGGTTCCTTCTCTACTACTCTCCGAACTTAAATGTCTCGAATCTGATGAGAACCCCGCTGCCTTACACACACACACTCACTCTCACTCACCTGCTCTGTCTCTCTCAATCTCCCACTCTTCCTGCCTAACCTCAGGTTCAGGTTCCTGGGAAGAGATGTTGGAACAGCTGGGGCCAGCTGTAAGAGAGGAGGCTGGGGAGATGGGGACAGAGCTTTTCTGAGAACACATCTAATGCCTCCTGCAGGCTGTTTTGGGTGTTGGAGGGTGGGGCATAGAGTACATCGACCTCCTGCGTGGCCTGGTCTGTGCAAGGCAGTCTGCCCACAGGACAGGTGTTACAGCTTGCCCACCACGGCAGTGAGCATTGCAGGAGGTACAGGGCACCTTTGTCTCTCTGCTCTGTGAATACAGCCTTAAGTGGGCTCCTGCCTTCTCACAGCAAAGCTATGCTGTCCCAGCTTTCCAGCAACCAGAGTTCTGCACCCAGCAAATATGGGCCTCGGTGCTTGAAGCCCAGAGGAAATTCACCACATAGAATTAACACTTTCTTTGGATCCCCTGTCATTCAAGTACTAGCCTTTACACTGTGCATGTGCCCAGAATTGGCTTCCCCCACTTTTGGAGAGGAAGCCTGGTATCTCATGGCCCCACCTCCCACATGGTACTCAAAGGTCTCCTGAAAGGGGCTGTGATAGGTGAGGCCAGTTGAGTCTGCAAAAGCAGGGTGTGGTACCCGAGGCCCTCAACAGGGCCAGGTAGCAGGGCTGCTGAACATGGGCAGATACAGATCCCTGGGGTCCATGCAGTCTGACTGTGAACAGTCCAGATAGCCAAGGAGAAAGTGCTATAAAAAGGAGGAACCTGCATGTTTTGAGCAAAGGAGTGACATGCGGACAGCTACGTGCACAACAGTGGGAGTGTGCTGCGTGAGAGCAAAGCCAGGAAGTGGACATGTGAATGCTACCTTCTAGCTGGTTTTGGACAGAACACGTAGACTTCTCTTGAGCAGTCACCTCCTCTTATAAAATGGGACCACAGTGTGTTTTTCATCTGTGAATGTACAGGGCTCTGCAGACTTCAGTCTGATGATGAAGACAGGAATGATGAGGGGTAAATCTAGGATCACCGGGCTGGTGCCTTGGCTGAGGCGGCATCCGTCTCCTGTCCCAACAATCCAGTGTGTTAGAAGGCCCTAAAGGCAGAGCAGCGGCATGAAGGGGATGTTTCCAAGGAGAGGATGAGCCCAGTGACATTGTTGACAGTGTCAAAAGAGTACTAAGGGGTGGGGTGGGCATTCTTTTCAGGGTCAGATGGGTAGGCATTTAAGTTCCTGACAGGGATACTGCTGAGGTGACAGGCAGGGGTGTGGTGAATGAAGGGGCTCTGCTGCAGAAGCCAGAAGAGAAAGAGCATGATGTTCACCTTCAGGAATGAGCAAAGAGCAGAGCCATAGGGGTTGTCAAGGGACATGAAGATGGCCCTCGGAAGACCCATGGAATCATCTGGGGTATGCATAGGCAGGAACTGACTGTCCCTTCTCCCTTGGTGCCCTCTTTCTCTAGGCCTGAGCTCAGGTGGGCTCCTGATACCTGCCCAGACTCAAAGGGGAGGAACAGAAGAGGCTGGGGTTTGGTGATTCCTGAAGTGCCACCAGCCGTTGGTGGAGAGGGAGGAACCTCGGCAGTGGGCTGTTTGTGATGCATGGGGCTCAGTCTTAGGAACTATATCAGTTTGGGGGCACTCTCTGGTTTCCAAGCTCCTTGGAGGGAGTGGCGGAGCAATGATTTGAATCTGCTCCTCACCGGGTTTGCCCTGAAAGAGTAAGTAAGGCCTGAGAGGAGTCAGAATTGCATTGAAGGCGTCTCTGATAGGGAGGCCTGTGGGTCACAGGAGCCAAGTCAGGCTGCGAGAGAAGCAAGAATAACTAGGAGCACAGGTTAGGTGGAGTTTGGCTAGGGGTGGAGTGGGGGTGGGTGGGGGGGAAGACAGTCTGGGACTGAAGTGGTCACTGCTGCCCCCAAAGACTCTGGAGCTAGCACTTGTGGCAGAGGGTAGGAGCCCAAGAAGTGCTGAAAATGGACAGTCCTCCCTCCTGCCAGCAGGACTCAGCAGTGATAGTTCAGAAGCAGCTTTGAGTGTGGCTTTGATATCAGACAAGCCTGGATTAAGGAAAATGTAAAATGTAGATGTAAAATCCTCTACCCCTTGCCACATCCTGACCTTTAAGTTTCTTGTATTCTTTCAGAAACTTGTTTGTGTATATGTGTTTATCCTTTTATTTGCACAGATCAAATAAGACATGGCACGTACCTTGCTTAATTTGTTGGCAGTGTGGAAGAACTACCTATTTCTTTAAAAAACTTTTTTTTAAAACATTTATGCATTTTTTAGAGACAGAGTGCGAGCCGGGGAGGGGCAGAGAGAAGAGACAGAATCTGAAGCAGGCTCCAGGCTCTGAGCTGTCAGCACAGAGCCCGACACGTGGCTCGAACTTACAAGCTGTGAGATGATGACCTGAGTCGAAGTTAAACACTCAACCAACTGAGACACCAAGGCGCCCCTACCTAGTTCTTTTTAAAGACTGTTTAGTTTTCTGTCTTACAGTATGCATTGATTTAGCTAATCTGTCTCCCGTTGATGCTGAGGTTGTTGTTAGTTTGGGGTTATTTTGATACCATAGCAGACACACTATACACATATCTGAACACTGGGACAATTTTTTCTGTAGGTAAAACCGTCAGTGTGAATCTTGTGAGTCGGAACTGTACGTACCACCCCCTTTCTCTTTAAAAGGGGTTCTGCCAGTTCACACTTGCTGATATTAGAAAGGATGCTGGTGACACAGAGCCTTGTGAGGATTAAATGAGATAATGCATAAAGCTTTCAGCCAGTGGCTGCCACACCCAGCTGCAGGGCAGGGCTCACTGCAAACTGGATCACTGTGGACAAGAATCAAGTAAGGTGCTGGATTGGGTTTCGTCGTCAGCTTGGGGAAGCGGAGGTGTCAGGACACAGTGGTCTGACAGCTGCTGAGCTGTCCCCTTCATTCACACACTTAAGAAGTGTTCCATGAGTGCCTGATGTGTGCCAGACACTGGAGCAGAAGTGGAGCGATGAACCAGACAGGTGTGTCTCCCACCGTCATGGAGCTGACCCTCTGGAGAGGGCAGGAGTCTCTGTGGCTTGTGCTAAATGCTACCTGCATAGGACACTGCTACCTGCAGTCCCCTCTGACTAGGTCTCTCTCTCCCTCGCCCCTGCCTTGCTGCCAGTGTACGTGATGCAACGGGAAAGGAAGACGAACATGGACACCGGTTGTCAGGCAGCCCTGGCAGCATGTTGGGCTGCTCTCTGCTGCTGCTGCCTCCTGGACAACTTGGATTGAGCAGTCGGGACCCAAGTGCTCCCTCCAGGCCCACTGCCTTCTGTTACTGGAATAAACAATTAGTGCTGCACCATTTCCAATTTTTCTTTCTTTTAAAAATACCTAACCTGCAGTCTTAAGGTTTTAGTACCTATGAAGTGGCATCTCACTGTCATTTTAACATAGTGACTCAGCAGTTCCATTCACCATGCAGTGCTCACCATAGTAAGAACAGTTGCCGGCCGTCATTGTACAATGTTAATATGCTGGCATTGACTGTATTCTTTATGCCGTATTTTTCATCTCTGCCACTTACTTATAACTGGAAATTTGTACCTCTCCATCCCTTTATCTATTTTACCCTCCTCCCCAACCATCTCCTCTCCAGCAATTAGCACTATTTAAGACTGTTTCTTTAATTCCACATTAAGTTGAAATCATATAGTGTCTGACTTTCTTGGACTTATTTCACTTAGTATCATACTGAGTCCATCCATGTTGTCACAAATGACAAGACCTCGTTCTTTTTTATGGCTCAGTAATGCTCCATTTTGTGTGTGTATGTGTGTGTGCGTGCACGCACAAATGCACATGTCTTTGTGGGGACTTTTTTTTACATGTGCCACATGTTTATCCACTCATCTATGGATGGGCCCTTGGGTTGCTCCCATGTCTTGCTTACAGTAAATAATGCCACCATAAACATAGCTATTAGTGTTTTTGTTCTCTTAGGTAAGTACCCAATGGGAGAATTACTGGGTCATATGTTAATTCTCTTAATTTTTATTTTTTTTTTATTTATTTATTTTTTTTTTTCTTAATTTTTAAAAGAACTCCATACTGTTTTTCGTAGTGGCTCCACCAGTTTGTTTCCACCAGCAATGCACAAGAGTTCTATTTTCTTTTTTCCTTTTTTTTTTTTTTAATTTTTAATGTTTTATTTATTTTTAGGAGAGAGAGAGACAGCGTGAGCAGGGGAGGGTCAGAGAGAGAGGGAGACACAGAATTGGAAACAGGCTCCAGGCTCTGAGCTGTCAGCACAGAGCCTTATGTGGGGCTCGAACCCATGAACCATGAGATCATGACCTAAGTGAAAGTCGGACGCTTAACCGACTAAGCCACCCAGGCGCCCCTCTTTTTCCCTTTTTTATAAAAGGATTTTATTTTTAAGCATTCTCCATACCCGATATGGGGCTCAAACTCCCAACCCAAAAATCAAGAGTCGCTCACTCCACTGAGCCAGCCAAGAGCCCCAATGGTTCCGTTTTCTTCATATCTTTGCCAGTGCTTGTTATTTCTAGTTTTGGGGGATGATCGCCATACTGACAGGTATAAAGTGATACTTCACTGTGGTTTTCATTTATATTTCCCTGATAATTAGTGATGTTGAGCATCTTATCTGTCCACTGTACATCTTCTTTGGACAAATGTCTACTTAGGTCCTCTGCCCATTTTTAATAGAGTTAATTGTTTTTTGGGTGTTGAGTTGTATGGGTTCTTTATAGATTTTTGGTGTTAACCCCTTTTGGGATATGTTACTTGCGAATATCTTCTCCCATTCAGTGGGTTGCTTTGTCGTTTGGTTAGTGATTTCCTTTGCTGTGCAAAAGCTTTTTCTTTTAATGTGATCCCAGTTGTTTAATTTTGCTTTTGTTTCTCTTGCCTCAGGAGAAATATCCAGAACGGATATTGTTAAGGTTGATGTCAAAGATTACTGCATGTGTTTTCTTGTAGTTTATGCCTTTAGGTCTTTAATCCATTTTGAGTTTATTTTTGTGTATGGTGTAAGTAAATGATCAGTTTCATTCTTCTGCATGTAGCTGTCCAGTCTTCCCAGCACCATTTATCAAAGAGAATATCTTTTCTCCATTGTGTATTCTTGCCTCCTTTGTCATAAGTTAGTTGACCATATAAACATGGGTTTATTTCTAGGTTCTCTATTTTGCCCCATTGATCTGTGTCTAATTTATATGCTAACACCATATGCTTTTTTTTAATTGAAATATAGTCAACACACAGTGTTAGTTTCAGGTGTACCGTAGTGATTTTAGAAGTACATATACATTATGCTATGTTCACCACAAGTGTAGCTATCATCTGTCACCAGTGTCACAATGCCACTGAATGTATTCTCTGCTGTGCCTTTCATCCCTGTGACTTATTTCATAATTAGAAGCCTGTATCTCCCATAACCCTTGACCCATTTCATCCATCCCTCATTTCCCCACCCACCATGGCAGTTTATTCCTTGTATTTATGGATGTTTTTACTCTGCTTTGTGTTTTAGACTCCACATATAAGTGAGGTCCTATGGTATTCATCTTTCTCTGTCTGACTTACTTCATTTAGAGTATCCTCTAGGTCCATTCATTTTGTTGCAGATGACTAGATCTCAGGCTTTGTCCCAAATTATATTCCTATATATATTCATACACACACACACACACCCACCCACACACACACACACGTATATAATACCCATTCATCCCACATCATCTTTATCCACTCATCTATTGAACAGCTGGATTGCTTCCATATCTTGGCTATCATAAATTAGGTTGCAGTAGGCATAGGGGTGCATGTTATCTCTTCAGATTAGTGTTTTTGCCTTGTTTGGGTAAATACCCAATGGTAACTGGATCATATTGTAATTCTTTTAAAAAAAAAACTTTTTAAGTTTATCCATTTTGAGAGAGACAGAAATGTGAGCAGGGTAGGGGCAGAGAGAGAATCCTAGGCAGGCTTTGAGCTATCAGTGCAGAGCACAACGTGGGTCTTGAACTCATGAAACTGTGATATCATGACATGAGCCTAAATCAAGAATTACATGCTTAACTGACTGAGCCAGCCAGGTGCCCCTTTTAAAAATTCTCTTGAGGAACCTCCATACTGTTGGATTCCATTCTTTCCACGTCCTCACCAAGCATTTGTTACTTTTTGCCTTTTTGATTCTAGCTATTTTGACAGGTGTAAGGTGCTTTCTCATTGTGGGTTTGATTTGCATTTCTCTCATTAGTGATGTTGAGCATCTTTTCATGTGTCTATATGTCATCTTTGGGAAAATGTCTCTTCGGGTCCTGTGCCCATTTTTAAATCAGATTGTATTTGGGTGTTGTAAAAGTTCTTTACATGTTTTGGATACTAACCCCTTATGGAATATTTCATTTGTGAACATCTCCCATTCGTAGGTTTCCTTTTCATTTTGTTGATGGTTTCCTTCACTGTCCAAAGTTTGTTTGTTTTGGTGTGGTCCCAATACTTTTGCTTTTGTTTCTTCCCTTGCCTCAGGAGACATATCCAGAAAAAAATGTTGCTAAGACCAATGTCTAAGAGATTACTGCCTGTGTTTTCTTGTAGAAGTTTTGTGGTTTCATGTCTCACATTGAGGTCTTTAATCCATTTTGAGTTCATTTTTGTGTATGATGTAAGGAACTGATCGGTGTCATTTTTCTACATGTCGCCGTCCAGTTTTATTGGCACCATTCATTGAAGAGAATCTTTTCTTCATTGTATATTGTTGCTTCCTTTGTTGTAAATTAATTGACCATATACATGTGGGTTTATATCTGAGCTCACTATTCTGTCCCATTGATCTCTGTGTCTGTTTGTGTCAGTACCATATCGTTTGTATTACTATAGAGCTTTGTGTAGTATATCTTGAAATCTAGGATTTTATGTCCAGCTTTGTTGTTCTTTCTCTAGACTGCTTTGGCTATTTGAGATCTTCTGTGATTCCATACAAATTTTAGTTATTATTGTAGCTCTATGAAAAACGCTGCTGGTGTTTTGATAGGGACAGCATTGGATCTATAGATTGCTTTGGATGATAAGTGGTTTTTTTTATTTTTAAGATTTTATTTTAAAGTAATCTCTACACCCAACATGGGGCCCAAATCTACATAACCCTGAGATCAGGAGTTGCATACTCCACTGACTGAGCCAGCCAGGTACCCCTGGGTAGTATGGACATTTTAACAAAAGTAATTTTTCTATTGCATGAGCATGGAATATCTCTTTGTGTTGTCTTGAAAAGTTCCTTTTTTTTTTTTTCAAACATTTTTTTTAATGTTTTATTTATTTCTAGGGGAGAGAGAGAGACAGCGTGAGCAGGGGAGGGCCAGAGAGAGAGGGAGTCACAGACTGAAACAGGCTCCAGGCTCTGAGCTGGCAGTCAGCACAGAGCCCGACGCGGGGCTCGAACCCACAAACCTCGAGATCATGACCTAAGCGGAAAGTCGGACGCTTAACCGACTAAGCCACCCAGGCGCCCCGAAAAGTTTCTTTAATCAGCGTTTATTAGTTTTTAGAGTACAGGTCTTTCACTTCTTGCTTAGGTTTATTACTAGATATTTTATTCAGTATTTTACTCACCTTAGCTGATTAATGGTGACCTTAACATAAAAATAGAAACTTACGGTGACTTACTTTCACAAATCCTGTGATTTTTTTTTTCTATTGGTTTGTCTTACTGATTTATAAGGAATCGCTAAATAAATATTCCACACACTAATATTTGTCACTTTGACAGACTTGCCAATACCTTCTCCCCATCTGCCTCTCAGCCTTTTTTAATAATGTATTTTCTAGTATAGAAGTTAAAAAAAATTTTTTTAATGTTTATTTTTGAGAAAGAGAGAGAGAGAGAACAAGCGGGATAGCGGCAGAAAGAGAGGGAGACACAGATCTCAAACGGGCTCCAGGCTTCGAGCTGTCAGCACAGAGCACAACGTGGGGCTGGAACTCACAGACAAACAAGTGCATGACCTGAGCCAAAGTTGGATGCTCAACTGACTGAGCCACCCAGGTGCCCCTCTAGTATTTAAAGTTTTTTAAATGTCATGTTTATCAGTCTTTCCCTTATGCTTTGTGTTAGTCTCAGAAAGGTCCTTTTCTATTTCAAGATCATAAAGATAAGCCTGTTACCCTCTGATTGTTTTTCATAGTCTTTAGTTGACCTAATTTTAGTTTTGATCATAGTGTAGGTTAGAGTTCTGGTTTTCTTCTTCTAGTTCCAACACCATTAGGTCATCCTTTCTCCACTCTGATTTGAAATAAGATTGGTCATATACTAAGTTCCCCTATATCAACAAGCTAGA